CAAATACGGACGTGATGGATTCTCGGCATTCCGCTGACAGAAAATTAATTTTTCACTGACAAAAAATTAATTAGTCACATTAAGGAGCGTAAAAAGCCTCGCAGGATCTTAAATTGGACTTCCATTAGGGAACTAATTATTACATTGAGCTTTTTGTGATATTTGGATACCGATATTACCATTGATTTAACGACTATGAGAACTCCTGTTCACGAGACACATTTAACATGGCAACGAAGTATTTCGTTTTTTCAAATTAATATTGTATGATGCTTATACATTAGATAGAGTTATTAGAACTTCGATTTACGAGACATATATTTGAAAATGAGGTATTTCATTTTTCCGATTTAATAGACGCTCGTACATTAGATAGGGTTATTTTTGTAATTGTCAACGCTAAAGACAACCTAATGGAGATCGAAACGTGTTTTACATTATGTGTATTGATATTTATCTATTTAGTTATAAACAACGCTTAGCAGCTAAGATCCTGCGAGGCTTTTACGCTTCTTAATTTGACTTACTTGTTCATATTATTATCCTAACTTCTTATTCATTTATTAAAAAATTAATTTTTTTCTTTAACAAAGTCAGCCTTATCGCAGTAATATTTTCTTTGAAAGCGTCCTCTTGAACAGATTTCTTTTTTTCCCGATTCAATGACGAGCGATACTTTTTCAAACTTGTTCGAAAGACGTGAGTTAACGTAAAAGTTGTCGACGTTTCGAATCTCTAATATGCCGGAAAGAGACGTAAGAAACGTCGACTTCCGGTCGAGTTTGAGTTAACTTAAGTTTTTTTTATAACGATCGTTTCTACGTGCTCGACGAATGAAGGAGCGAAATTTGCAAAAATGATTTACTCCCGCATAATAGCTCCGGCGCAAATCTCCTTCGTTCAATAGCTCTGAAAATTACACGTTTAAATAATTAATCGGCCGCGATTGTTATAATAATCAAATTAATGAAAATCCTGATATTAATGAGCAAAACTAAAAACCGCCCACGGATCAATTAACGAATGGAAGCCCGGTTTCGGTTTACGGAGAACGAATCAACGTTTTAATCTCGCGATGCTCGAATATTAAAAGTTCGAACGGGCAGCGGAACATCGGCGCTGAAAGAATTATTTTTATAATTGATTCCGACATGCGCGAAACACACGCAAGGTAAAACTTCTCTCTTGATGGGGCGCGCATTAAACACGCCACGAGCGGTAAAAGCGCCCTAATAACGGAACGCTTCTCCGCGCGACTGATTATATCTCGTCGTAAAATTCGCACCGAAAATATTTGTGATCGTTCCCGATGTCATCGAGGGACGCGACGCTATTACTATCGCGTCTTAACTTTCTCGAGCACACCGTACAATCACCAGGCCGAATTACCGCTCGAAATGTATAAACGTGACGCGCTAAAATTCTGCGGTGCGTCCGTATATCACCGGTCCATAAAAGGACGACAGCACCGCGAATGAGTGTGATTGATTGCCTTTCTAAGTGTTCGCCGTGCGACACGATGCGACGACGCGAGGCTGAATATCGTACTTTGAGAAACTAGCGATTTTAATTACGGAAAATGCTAAAATGGACACGTATACGTGTAATACGCATTAACGTATTAAATTTTAAGTAGAACGAAGTAAATTACTTCGCCTCGGTACACATACATTAAGGGGGAGAGGAAGGATGGGGGGGGAGGGCAGGGGTCGGCAAAGATTTAACTTTGACATTTGAACATGATGCGTCGGAATTCGTAATCTAAATTGGCGACTAACCATGAGTTAACACGTATAATTCGTATTGACTTATTAATCTCGAGCATCGTGGAACACGACACATTACAAATTGCGATATGACACGCGATAAGCCCCGCTCTAACTTCTCATGAACGTTTAGCATGACACATATCATTTACTTTACGTTACTTTATTGCTTGTGAAATAAAGAGAAAATTTACGTTATGAGCTGTACAATATTGCGAGTTGTTATAACCGTGATGCTGTTGGTCATCAAATTTCTCAAAGTTTCATATTAAACTCCATATTGTGTTACATATTACACGTTCTAAATATTTTATTTATGAGATACATACTTTTTCGCTTTCCTTTCTTAAACATAATTTTAATTTAAGACTCACATTTTTCGATGCATTTAACCTTTAAATTTTATATATTATTATATTGAATTGTATTTTTTAAAAAGTATATCAAAAGATCGCGAAGAGGCCGTTTATCCATCTAAAAGAAATTCAATTTTTAAATAAATAATAGATGCGAATTTTGAAATAATTTATATTGTACATGAAAATTTTCCTATTACGTATAAATAATTACAACGATATTATATTGAGTTATATAACTGGATAGAGTTTGAAAAATGTAGTGTACAATCGTGCTGCAGTAGTACGAATCAATGATATGTGTAGACGTGAATCATTAATATAAACTGAATCTTAAAAAGGGTAAATGAGTGTATATAATGAATTATTCGAAGAATACTCTACAATATTTATTCGGAAAATTACCGTCAGTCCAATATTTCACGTGGAATATCGGATTCTATACATAAAATATCGGATATAACGTATATATCCAGAACATAAAATTTTCAAGATAATTATGCTTGTATCATATTACGCGCGATAAGGAAATAGGAAGTTTTATACTAAAAAAAAAATATAGTTCGTGCGATTGGGTCGTACCTGTGGATCACTTTTGTGAGAGTCTCCGATGTCATGACGGGAAAGCAACAGAGTCCTCGATCGCCAGGACGAGTCCTCCTCGCCATCACTCACTCAGTGAATTTTGCATTATACACAGAGAAGACACAATCGGCACACTGACCAATCGCGCGCGCGACTATCGAACGATCGGCATAACGTGTCAAGGACGTCCGACGTCGTCTCGAAGGTCACGGAAGGACCTTTCCGACGATAGGACAGATTAGATCTCTGTCTCCCTGACGACGCGTTGCCGCGCGTTGGCCGATTTCCAAATTTCGCTCGCGCTTGATCGTCGGGGGCCGATATCGAATTGTGCCGTTTGCCGGGCCCCGCCACAAGTGGTTGTGTCCTGCCACCGGGGAAACACCTGATCCTGCGCTCCGCGGAGCGAAGAAGACGCGGACGGGCGGCTCGCGGAGTATACACGCGCCGAGAAAACGCCTTCGTTCACGCGGCAATCTTAACGGTCGCGTAAATCCGGATCTGCCGATCGGAAGGAGGGCCACCACCCACGGATCAACGTGTTTTCATCGCTCTAATGGACAAACTCGACTGTGTCATCCTTCCGTAGGAAGAGCCGCGCACCCTCCTGACAGCGTGACTTGCCACCGATGAGCCCGTTGTTCATTTGATCGCCCCAGGATCGATCCTTCGATGCAAGGTAAACAGACACGAGGAAGGAAGTGGGACGGGCAGGAGGATTTGTTGCGCGCACCTTCAATTAAAACACGAGGGATCAAACGTGCCGTACGATCGCGGTGGGGGTCCTTTCCTCAAGAGCGATCCCTCTCTCACGCTCGAATTCGATCGTCGATCCTCAGGACGGCGAGATAAACACTTGTCCCTGAGTACGACGAATTATTTTCGACGTCCTCGTCTCAATGTAAGACACGTCCTAGCACGGCTATCCTCGCCTCTTCCTACAAAGACGGAAACACCTCGCGCACGAAGCGGAGCCGCGACGAGTGTACACACGCACGCTCGTCCTTAGCCGAGGGGTGTCTCACAAGGGCTAGTTTTCTGTTTTTCAGCCTACCGACTGCCGTGCACCCCCGCGTTATTCCGCAGGAACTAAACAGGCCACAATGACGCCTGCGTCCTCGGGCGTCGCGACGACGGTTATCCGCGACCCCCGCGTCCGATCGCGCATGACGTAGCAATAAGGGCGCGAATTTAGCACAATGTTCGAGATGGAGAACGCTTGATAGCGAATACGCGGGCTTGCTGGCTATCTGAAGTAATGAGAATAATCTAAAGTAATGAGAGAGAGACAGAATATCTCGTACGATTATGTGCACTGCTAATTTTTGTACGAGTGGGTATTAGACTCATTCAGTACGGAGATGAAAAAACATCGCGTCGATTGCTCTAGTTATATGTAGCAATGGAATTAATAAAATGCAAATTGGATAAATATCTATTAAAAAAAGATAAAAATTTTTAAAAATAAACAATTACGCCGAAAATAATTTTCCATATGATGGAAACACCGTGATATATGATACTGTTGAATCATTGATTTATATTACTGCAGCATGACATAATCCGATCATAAAAATCTCACAGAAAAGAGATACATAATTTTATTTATATCTCTTTTTTGTCAAATTGTTTAAGGATTAAAACATTTTTATTATTCTTTTGTCACATAAATTTTTGCGAGAATAAATATTAACCAATATCTGTAAATAATATTCAAGATTCAATGGTAATTGTTTTTAAAGTCTATAAAAAAGTAATTTAAACTTAATCATATAGTTTAAATTTCGATTTAAATTCACATCAACTGAGACGGATCAATAACGTTGCGTCAAGGCAGCTTTGTTCATTACATCGTTTATTACGGCGCAAAATTCAACACGTGAAAGATATCGCACGAGATTTAAAGAAGAAAATATAGGAATTTTTCAATTGAATCAAAATAGTGAGTATCTGAGACTGATAAACGATAAAAGGAAGCAAAATTTAAACATATTTAAATAGAAAAATAAAACTGTGGAATACGCTTTATATCTTCACATTGATATTATTCTCGCATGGTTTAGTCAATCAAATAATGAATGATAATAATTGTTATTTTAAAAACAGATGTAGTACGAAATATCATAAATAGCTTGAGAATTCTCAAAATCGCTCTCGTAAAGAGTTCTTGATATCGGAAACCAGACGAGTAGAGAACTTTAATTGACATACGCTGAAATTCTCTGTAACACCGCGATCCCTCTGCGCGCAATGTTTATTTTATTGATCAGCGAAATTCCTTTTAATTACTCACCAGTCTGGGTGCTGCTGTCAAATAAGGTGCTGGATGTTTCGACTGTCATCGACGCGAAAGTGCCATCCGTGATTTGAGCCGAGCTATTTCTTCGTCCGCGAAATCTCTGAACCTGCAACATGCACAGTATATATAAATTTTTAACAGTGATCATTACAGATTAATGTTAATTACAAATATTAAAAGAATTCAACAAATATTTTAAATAAAAGAACAATTCTCATGTTATGTTACTTTTTAGTGTTTTTTTCTTTTTAATACTTGATTTAAAAAAAATATTATTTTGCAAATATTGCTTAAGCTTTTATTTTTTTCCTTTCTGAAATGATTTTATCTTATAAAGTTCACTTTTGAATTAAAGAAAAACTACTAGAAATTATTGAATATATCTGCTTGATGCTCTCCTTGAAAATTGAATAGATAAAACTTCTTTGCCGATCTGGTTCTTTTTTTAATAGAAATTTTTAATAGATACTTTTGATACTTTTAATTTTACTCTAAGATGGAATCTATTGCAAATTGAGAAAAACAAACCGTGTCGTCGCTTTGAGAGCTCTGTCGCCTAAAGTTACGGCATCGTATCATCTCTTCGGTAGTACTCTGTCGTCGAAAACCGCGCGCTATCAGGATCTCTTCCGTGGTGGATTGCCGTCGTATTATTGGCGCATGGTGAATATTGCCAGGTGCGCGGGCGCAAGGACTGGGCTCTCTGGATGAACACGAGGAACTGTCCGGCGATCTGAAATATAAAATTCGATATGAGACACAGATCGTCTAACAGAGCTTTAAATTCAAAATTATAATAACTACTATGGCATTGAATATATGTCTATAAATTTTCACGAAACATTGCTAGAATTTTTATTGTTTTGATTAATTTAAATGTGAAAACTCTATCTCACAATTACAAAATAAAAAGTAAATGATAAATATTAATTATAAATTAATTTCTGTTACAATTTTCCTTATTTGACAATAATAATTCGAAATATAGGTACATCTAAAAACGTTTTATGTAATGTATTGTGGATTTATAAAAGTAATTTGTGAAAGATATTAATTAATTGTGTATAACAATATTTTTAATATACAAAACTTAAACACAACATTAAAATAAAATATTTTGAAATAAACAATTTGAAGCGCTGATAATCAAGAGTATGTCTTGTTCAACTATATATATTTAAAAAATCAATAGAATACAGGTACCGTGGTGGCCGACCAGCCATGGAGGTGGACTGTCTTCTTAATCGACCTTTTCTCTGTCTGATAGGACTGATGTCTCTCTTATCGACGTTTCTATCAGGACTCAGATGACTTTTTGAATCGCGACGTCGCAGATAGGAAGCAGAATCTGGACTCAAAGAGTCCCTCCGTGCTTTCCGACCTTCAAATATATACATCAATAAGATTAATGTATCCTGTTCGCTTATTCGATTACAAAGAAATATCTTCTTTAATATTTTCTAGAATCATTATTTACATATAAGAGAAATTTTGACAAAATTTTTTATATTAGTTTAAAAAAGATTTAAATTTTGAATATATCCGCAGTCACCAAAATTTTAAAGCCAATGAAATTATAATGCGATGATTTAAAGTCAAAATGTTTTAAGTCAATTGTGAAATTGATAATAAAATGGATTACGGACGATGTAGAATTTTATTTTTATATATTATATATATATATATATATATATATATATATATATATAAACACAAATTAGCTGTAACAACAGTTGGTATCTACCCCCATCATCAGGATCTGGTGATAAAGTTGGTTGGCTACCACGACGTCCTGTGGGTGGCATCGATTCATCAATTGCTGCGTGTTGGCGTATCAGCCTCGACACTTTACTCGGCGAGACTTCTTTACCCTTGAAATTGCACTGTCGAAAGAATCGATATCCATTATAAAATCTACACGATAGGCTACCCTCAAGCGAAATTGAAGATCTCTAAGCAAAGAAGCAATGAGCAATCATTTTATTAAATACAATTGTAAATATTAAAGACGCAGGCTCGATCTTTCGTTAAATACTAGATAAAAACGTAGCATTATAGCCTCGTCGGAAATTAAACTGCTTAATTGCTATCCCAAAAGAGGGGCTCTATCGATAACCGCTACCTGCGTGGTCGAGTCTCTTCGAGTGGAAAGTAACGGATGCGTAGGTGTGTTGTTAACGTTCGGTGAGCCGACCGGGCTGGAGCTACCGGAAGTCGAGGTCCCGGGAAGCGGGAGGCTGCTTCCGGCCGTCGGCGAGATCGCCGGTGGCGTTACCGAGGACATAACGATAGTCGGCGGACTGACGGATGCGTCCAACGTGGCACCGATTCTGTTCTCAATCGTGGCCCTCGTGTCCACGCTTAAGGTCGACATGGTGGGCATCACTGGCGAGGTGCTGATCGACACCGTCGTCGTCCTCGAGTCGGTTATCGTCGTTGTGACAACGGGCGTCTTCCCGTTGAGTATCAAAGGCGACATCGTCATCGCCGTCTTTGTGTCGATCACGGTGGAACTTGTCGTTTGGGTCCTGCCCTCGGTACTGCTCGATTTCTCGCTCTTGTCCATGGAGTTCCTCTGAGTCTCCAGATGTTCTCTGGACAGAAGGAAATCGATGAGCAAAACGCATATTATATTTAATGTGCAAAGCGCTATGATTAAATAATTTATTATTTTAGATATTAAATGATATTTTCTATATCATTTATCACCATAATACATTGCATATACGTATGCAATTTCTCACGTATCAATTATTCGAAAATAATTAGCTGGGAATTACTTAAATTTAATTATTTAATTTATATTTATTGCGTACCCATTATGATTTAATTGACTATTGTAATTTAACTAACCGAACCGTATTACTGCCCGCGCTGTCGGTGCTGGAAGCGCTCGGTCTTTGATCATTTCTGTAATACTTCGTGGGCGTGACGCCACCCCCGTCGACAGACTGTTGAGATTGCCTACGTCTGTGATGACGACAATTGTGCTTACGATCGCCGGGGCTCTGAGATTGTCCCGTAATCACCGAGTCCCTCCTGGATCTCGCGCTCTCGCCCGAACCACGGCGAGAGTTTCTCGATTCGCCCGAGCCTGCAATATTGCAGTAATTAATAAGGTACACGCTGGTTAAGTAATAATTTAAATATATTTCTCTCGTAAAGATGAGTTTGCTTTATATCGCACTCGAAAACTCACGTTTCACGTAAACGTTTGTAAGATTCACTGACGTAAAATTTAATGTTTACATAAAATATTACAAAATATCATAATTTCCTAAGATATAACATAATTTCAAAGATTTCGTACAGGTCTACACGTTATCCGTATATCGTCGTAAACGGTGGAAGAAGATGGGATATGCTTGTAAGTCTTTTCGACAATTTTTCCGAACTCGATCATTCTTGGACAGTGAATAACATATACAGTGAATAATGAAATTTTATTTTTTTCTAATATAAAATCCACGCGCGACTCCACATACAGAACATATATTGATCCCCCAAGGGATTTACTTCCAGTGATATCGCGACTCGCGAAAATTCGTGACTCCCACGAAACGGGAGAGCTCCGAGCTGTAACTGCGAGCGCGCGCGTGCTATTTTTAGACTGCTACTGGCAAAGCTTTCCTCTCGCTGAAAATTTCACCTCGACGCGGCGTGGGCGAGATGACCGTGGGCGGTGGCTGCGGCTGCGAGTCCTTTTTGCTCAACAGTCTGGCTATGTCGTTCTTAAAGTCACTGATGGCGGAGTCCCGTCTGGACTTGCTGGACACCTGGCTGCGGATGCCGCTGTCGACCGAGCTCTCCCGTCTTTTACGCAGGCTGACCAGGTGGCTGGCGTCCGTGGTGGTTTGTCGCGACCACGGCAGCGACTTGGCGATGTCCGCCAGGGTCTCCCTTCGACAGAGCTTGTTGCCGCGGCTGCTCTTCGTCGAGATACCGCCGCCGCCCCATTCGCGCAGAATGTCGGTCAACTGAGCGAGGCTCGATCGCCGACGGCGCTGGTTCGTCGGCGAGCAATCCTGGGTCTCGTTCGGCGGCGAGATCGACGTGATCTGTGCCGCGGAGTCTCGTCTGCCTGTTCCTGAGGGCAAACGCATTACGCTGAAGAGATTGTCGTTCGATAAATTGTAAGATGATACCGTCTTGTTATCGAGTCGTTACAGAAGTCCGATGCGACGGTAATGGGAGTTTAATGGGAGTTCTTGTAGCCTTAATAAAGCGGATCGTCAATAGTGAAACATTATTTTATATAACTAAGAAAATTACTCGAGAAATGAAAATATATGAAATATATTTTGATCGCGAAATTAAATTTCTTTATTTTCGAAATACCGGTCTTTCGTATCACAATTTTCTATTCCGCAATGTTTCTCTTTGAAAAAAAAATGCGCTTCGCTCGAAAAAGGCAGAAGGGGGAATATAAATACCATTAACTTCTGACTTTAATATTCCCTCAAAACGCACACATCGCCCATTACAATCCTCACGAAAATGAATTCAAAGCACTTTTGCATGAGAAAACCGTCGAATTTCCATAATGTGCTTTCGTGCGAAAAATTCTGGTTACGGGCTAAAAGCGTGTCTATGCATACCCAGGCGTTGCCTCAGAGTGGACTCCTCCACTTGCTCTCGCACGAGGTCGTCCCAGCCATTGCCGCCCTGCCATATCAGCCCGACCTGATGAGTCACGATCGGCAGGTTGCACACGAAGCAGATCGCTGTCATGGTCCTGGAAAAGAAGAAGCGCGCGGTCTCGGTTTAAAGCCGGCTAGGAGAGTGGGACGTCCGCTCGCGAGCGGCACGGAAGAACTTTCAACGGAAGAAGAAGGTGCATCTTTCAACGATAAAGTTACGTGAAACCAGGCCATGCCAACAGAGCGCTTAAAAGTGATAATTTGTCGAAGTCGTGGTTTCCCTTGTCTAAGCTCTCGAAAAAACGCGATCGCGCCTAGGACGATTGTCATGCTCGGTGTTTCTTTTTTCTTATTTTTTTTTTGTGCGTGAAACTACTCCGGTAATTCAAGATACAGCGGGCGGAGGCGCACTCAGAGAGTATTGAGTATTTGTATTGAATATATACAAATGCGAGCCTCTTCCTGCTTCTTAACCGCCGCGAAACCACGCTTCGTCTACTTCACCCACTTCGTAGGTACGATCGAAAGAACTTAACGAGATATCCAAGATAATACAAACGTAGCTAAGTAGAACAACACTCTAACAATGTATGTACAATATAGACACAAGAACGCAAGTGTAATAAGTTAAAAACGGCAGTTGTGTAAGCTCGACCATGTCGACGTTTCTGGTGGAGACACGCGAAAACGAGAATGAAAGAAGAATCTCAGATTTCGTTAGCGCGAATGTAAAATTTTAGAAACAACGCGAAATGCTTAAGGCAAATTGAAACGTAACAAATAGAAATAAATCTAACAACAAATATCATAAACATTCTCACATCAACATTTAGAAAATCAAGGAAATATTTCACATCAATGTGATCACGAGCACGACACTTATAGATGTAAAATAAAATTAAAAAAAAAAAGAATCCATTTTCTCACACGCTTTATCTTCAGTTCTTAAGACATTCGCTTCTATATAAAATTACCGCGACAATGACATGTTCCATTTACTACTTAATATATGTAAAATTGAATTCTTTATCGTCGTACGAGAAATTAGCATAGATTTAAATATGAATAAGGTAGACTTCGGGAGCAGAGCGGGTAAACGCGAGAAGTCATTTCTAACGTATGCAAAGCTCGAGATCGTCGAGATCACACAAGTATCGGCCTCCGGTCTAGAAAATGTTACCGCAGCGTGTTTCGCGAGCGCCGATGAACGTCATTCCAAAAGCGTGGATGCATAAAGAAACTCGAGATGTATATATGTGTTACACAACGTAATACATATATACAATTACTATAGAGCGAGAGAGCCGCATATTATTTTCTCATTGTATACAGCACATACTGAAAACTTTTTTAGAAGGCATATATCTGATTTGTTGTTTCGACCTGTAATGTCGAAGTCTGGGGGTCTGCAACGACATCGCATGGCAAGGGCCTGGCCGACCTGCAAAAGATACACACACACAAACTTTTTTTTTCGATAGACCGCTACCGGGTAGTAAAGTAGTTGATGTAGAGAGGCATCTCGCGCTCTCGATGATGCTGTATATCCTGAAAAGGCGCATGATACTTGAGATAGCGTGGGAGCAATCGATGATCACTTTTAATTACAAGAGTCCCGCTGTATTTTTATGTAAACCGACGCCGCCATCGGTTTCTTAATAAGCATTTTCGAAAATCAATGACGTAAAGAGACTGACAATGGAGTTTGATTATGATAATGCAATGCAAGAACGCTGTGAATAAATAACATGTGTCGCGACAAAATGTAATATGATATAATATTACATATATATATATATGTTTTATAAAATAATCCCATACATTTCATCAAAATATTTCAACAGTTGTTGAATAATAATCAATCGGATCACCACGATATCAAATTAAATGTAATGTTTCACCGTGTACGAGAAGAAATGCGATTTTAAAATTATTCAATCTATTAAAACGCGAAATATTATCATAAATGCGTCACGTGAAAATTTCTGCATCACTCTTGGATAAGTATCTCACTTCCGGTTTCACCCACATTCGATACTCTGTATATTAAGTGAAACTTGATAGAACTGCATTCCCCATCAAATATGCGCAAACTTTAACGCTACAAATTTCACTCAAATACGCACTTTCGCATCCATAATCTTCACATAATTCCCGCCAGACCGATTCGTTCTACAAGCTTTGCCATATTAATAACATTCCAGAAACTCCTACTGTGTCATAACGATATTACCTCGTTAAAACTTGAATATCGCATAGCCTTATGTTAAGAGAAATCGCGAGTCGACCAACTCCAATCCATTCGTATGTTAAACAGAGCCGGTCGTTAACGGCCAAGTTTAACGGCCTGTATAGAAGACGAATTAAGAGAAGTAATTCAACGGGCGACAAAAGCGTTTCGGTAAAGCGCAATTACAATTTCGCTAGAAGAACCGTGAAACAGGAAAAAAACTGTAAGCACGAGCTTGTTTGAAAGCTGGACCCGAGAAACGTGCGCGGACAACAATTAATTAATCTCCCTGTCAAAGCCATAGGGCTTACTTATGCACAAAGTGACCTAATTAGCGATTCACTTGCCCCAATTACTTCGCTCCGCCAAACAAACGAGTATCAGTAACGAACTCACGTTTAATATCGATTGTCAATAAGTTTGAACGCAAAACTTCCTTGAAAATACAAAAATTTTTGCGTATTAGAAAGTATAAGTTAATATTACTTGCAGTAATTAATCAATTAAAACTTACAAATTCATGATTCTCATATTCCTCCCTGTTCTCCATTTAAGCATTTTAATTTATTTCTTCGATTTGATGTTAGTTTTAATTGACGTTTAATCAATATTGAATCAAAATTTGCGGAACGCGAGTTCTCTAAAATTCTTTTTCTTGAAAATCGGGACGATTATTATAAAACAAATTTTTTCTCTTACATAAGTGGTAACTGAGCATTAAATGTGTAGCGTGTTTTTAACACATAAAAAAATTCAAATAAAATGGATCCAAAATATTTAAATAAAATGAATATCCGAATAAAAAATATTAACAATTATATTTTTATTGCTAAATGTTTTTTGAAATACAAAAAAATCCTCAATACAAATCTCAACAGAAAATCAGATTTTTGTCCCTTTTTTTTACTAATGTTATTTGAGACCACGGGAAAGTGCAGATGCACGGGAGTACGCAGATTGCGAACTTTTATTTGCCCGCGTTAAAGCCGCATCCTAAAGCCGCGGTGAGGTTTGTAAAGCGTGAGAAACTACGCGAAAAACGTGCATTACGGCAGAGAATATAAATTTAAAAGGATCAAAAGCATAAAAATTTCAATTTTCCCACTATTAGACATAATCGTATTAAATACAACATTTTTATAATGCAGCGTAATAAACGAAAAAATGTGTAACAATTTTTTTGTCAGTCATCCCAATTTCGTGCATCATGAAAGACTTACCATTAAAGGTACGTTTTAATTGATTTTAGGAAACGTTTTATAAAATAAAAATTAATTTTAAAAGAGTAATAATATAAATTTATTAATATTTAAGAAAACAAATTTTAAAATAGAAACTTTTTTATTATTGCGGCCACATTAATATAAAGATACATTAAATTTCTTTAAAAAATTGTAAAACATAAAGCGTGTAAAACTGATAATTGTGCAAGGAAGTTTTAAGAATTTAATAGCATTTTAAATAAAAGATTTGTTTATGAAATAATTAAAAATAGTATTCTTGGAATCTTTTCTATATGTTAATTAAAAAACGTGAAAATCAAAATTTATTTTGCATCATTAAGAAGATAATTTAAAAAATTTTATATTACAATAATGGAGACGTTTCTATCCCTTTTTAGTAAATGAATATTGAATGAATCACACACACATCTTCGTGTCATGACTTCTTGATACTTTCTAATGCTCGATTTTAAGATGCATTATTATAAACGCGTGTCAAGTAGACCATCCGGATCACCACCTCGCATCGCCATAATACGTGGTTTAACGTCACATTGTGGCTTGTATTATCGGCCGGCGAAACGTCATTAATACGACAGCTTTGACATTTCCTGTTTCAACATCCATTGTGCGTTAATAATGCCGATTGCGAGAGCTGAGCGGAAAATGGCTCGCGTTACGCGACCAAAGAGCGAAACACTGTTTTGAGGATCAAAACGGAAAATAAAATTAATTTACGTAAGAAATATGTTCATATTTTCTTGTTATTGCAGCATCATATATTTTTTAACAGAAAAATGCTAGGAGGGATCATTTTAAATTATGCACAAGCAATTACATTGAAAGGAAATTTCTTATTCTTATATTGTTTTTAAAAAATATATGAGCAAAATAATATTCGTTGTACTATATAGCCTTCAGTTCTCTTCGCAATTGCGTGGTGACTTACTCGTGTAACGCGCACAGAATGAATTACTCGTGCGAGCATCACGTTAACATTGAAATTATGAACGCGCAATAGATATTCCGCGATATCATATTCGCTCCTGAATTTAATTTTACGCAACACGACACGCGTGTGTAATTCGAAGCGCCGTAACCAGAAACTATAGTACATAGGTGAGATACAAGAAACAGGATTGCACATTTAAAAAACTAACGTGCATTCGCCGGTCGTTGCATTTTCCGTTCAGTAATAGAGCATAAACATGCTTTCATTAGCCATAATTGTTACTGCACTTGAAGCAATGAACGTTGATTGCATTTTTCTAAAAAAAAAAAAAAAGAATGCAAATGCATTTTTAGGTCCAATAGTAGTATTATTAATGTAGAGAGATTAGAATATATCATCAACTCTCGAGACTTCCTTCTCATGTTCCAACAGTGAGAAATTAACTTTTTAGATCTTGCAATAATTATATCCAGGAATAAAATATAGTGACCACATTTTAGTGGCTTATTCCCTTCTCTCTAATACTATTTTCTGTTCTTCTCAAAGTTTAAACCATTATATTAAAATAGAAGTTTCAGAAGTTCATTTTCCAGAATAAAATTTCGATGTTGAACGTGCAATAGGTTCGTATTATACAATAGGTTTCACAATAACAAGTGTTTTGTATTTGAACGATTATAATTTTGTACTGCATTTTTAGTTATATACAAAATGCCACGTGGTAAAGTCTCCCGTAGTGGCGAGAAACATCTTAAGATGTTTGCTCGCGAAGGTAATAATAACTCTTAGGATATCGCGGGATATCGCTGTGATTGCGACCTCGTAGAAACGAGCAAAGTTTATCCGCAGAAAAAAAACTCGGTGGAGGACTCCTAGAGAGGTAGTACCTGTGCAAATTGAAGGATTCGTTTCCTTGCATCGCAGATCGCGACGCAGGCCACGCGAAGTGCCTTAATAAAATCCGACCCCAAAACTCGTCGGAAGGAAAACTCATCCGGCATCGTTTCGCAAGCTCATCTGCGAACAAGCTGACGGCCAGTAACGGTTAGATGAGAGAAAACGGGATGCAAGGTAAAAAAAAAGCCAAAAAGAGCCATCCTTCAGATAAAATAAATTCTCTCTGTTTTCATTCTCGATGAGAATCGCGAAAGGTTTTTCAGGTGAAAAAAAAATGGAACAAAACGTATCCTGAACAACATTCATCTAGCTTTTCCGGATATTTTAATTGACACGGATATTGTTACTACGCTCTTTTACAGTCAATAAACTATAATTTTTGTTTTATTAAAAAACGTTGTTATTGTCCTGATTATTCTTTAGAAATTCCATTTAGGAATTGCTTTGTAATAAATGGTTTGTTGGAGCTGTGTTGGGCTTTGTTGGAGAAAACGCGATTTAAAATAATATCTGTTTTGAAATGAGCTTTAAATTCTACTAATTTCTCTCAACTATGTAAACAAAAATTTATTTATAGATAAAAAATGTAATTAAAAACTAAACTTTCTTTAGCGGAAGTCTATGAAAAATGCATAATGTAAGTGTAAAATAACAGAAACGAAACAAATACAGCGGTACGATACGAAAACGAGTTTTTATTCGGAAATGTCAGAAACGTATTACAAGATAGAAACGGTATTCTCCACGTAAATGATGGTAAAATGTCCCTTTATCGAGACGGTGCGGTGTGCACGTTTACGTTTTGTAAACTCGATCATGTCTGCCACGCGTTAAAGCTTTCTATCGAGTTAAATATTTGAGGATGACAGGGAATCGATAATGGAAGTATCAATATATGCTTTACATGGAGACATTTTTGTATGAAGTATCAAATATTTAAAGAACATTGTTCCAAAAGAATATTTTTAATATTTAATATTATATATATATATAATATATTTCAAACTTTATATACATATATGTGTAGAGAGAAAGATTTAAGCGTATAATTATTATTAAATTAAACGTATATTGATAAAACATATTAACCGTATATATCGATTATACTGATAATGTATATATTGAATCTATTTAAATATCAATCAATTTTTCAATTTATATTGGTTGCAATAAAGTATAATTACTATTGCAGAACAAGACTGCCGGCCGATACATTAAATTCCTTAAAAATACGATGTTATATTTTCAAAAAATAAATATTACACAAATTAAACACGTGAAAGAGAGAAATGAAAATTTTGGGTCGAGTATTTGATTAACTTTTTCATTACTCTTGGGATATGTATGTTTCATGGAATTTCCAAGTTTCTAGAACAAAATTTCCGTCACTCATACATATTTTCAAACTCAAACGATGTTATAGAAACATTGTAGTGTTGAAAGTGTTAAGGACTGTTAATATCGTCCGAAAACGTATAACATATTGAATCGCTCTGGCTAGATGATTTTAATTAAAACACAAAATTAACGTGTCACGAATGAGAAGTGTAAAATAAATGGATTGTAAAATAGATCGAGGGAAAGGAAAAGAGAGACGAGGAAAAAAGAGAGAATTAGGTATATATATGAGAAGCAAAATACCAGGAGCTTCGCTAGTCTTTTAATACTGAAATTGGCATTGCAGCCGACGATAATTGCTTCCGAGGCAAGCTCTCTTGACCTCGCGAAAGACCTTTTCATGCAAGAATCTGTTTTAAGTGTTTATTTTCTTTATCTGTTATCAGACACGGTTCTTCAATTCCCTGCTAACTTCTGACGTTCTTTGCATGTATCGTAATGTATATACGACGGTGGGTCCCCCAGCAAATCAGCAATTCGAGGCGAATTGAAAGTAACTTACGAAGGATAGTAGAACAAACGTCCGTATCCAGTTCTATTCGGCGACATGCGATTCACGATTATTTCCTACCGGAGGGATCACATTTCGCGATACGATCGCTCGTGATGGACGTAACAATACGAGTGCCGGGGATACTCGCGCGCGTCCCAAGTGGTCGTACCTAAGGCCTTGATACTTAGAAGAAATACTGATCCACAGGTGGGCGTTAAAAGATGAAAGACATGACGGCGTCGGTCGGTAAATATCCTCTGCTCGAACATCCTCGCTATAGGAAAACTTCCACCGCGAAAAATGTAATTTTCTTCCGGGGGATCTACCGCGCCAAGTCAGTTAATACGAAAAATATCGCGTATACCTACAATTGTTCAATGATATTCCCTTGAGCTCCGCGAAATTGCAGACGAAATTGGCAACAAAGTACAGTTATTATCCGGAAAATTGTAACATTACGCACTAAACATATCGGATTATTACTTATCATTTAATTATTATTTTATGTATTATTTTATTAATACGTAGTTTGTGAAGTTAGAAACCACCAGAAGAATTCCAATTTTCTATACAAATATTTTCTCTTTGCACATTATGTTTATCACAATATTTTCCCTCGAATATGCTTCGAGCAAGATCCACTCGGTCATCTCGAGCCAAGGAATCAAAAGATGATATTTGGAATGCAGTGACGTCCGTTGAAAAATCCGTGGCTACCCGTGCTTTCGGAGAATTTCGATTTATCCAGCGTGATAAAGCAGCACGAGAGGATAAGACGTAACAACGTTTTCTTCGGTGCTCGGACAAGAAGCGGTCTCGCTGACGAATGAACAACGTTTCAACGTCGTGCAAAAGTCCCAGAAGGCTCGTGGAGACGGTAAAAGAATAAGGAAACGAGGAAGAGGGACGGCAAACACACATCCGGGGCCACGGGGATCAAATACGAGGAGTGAAAATCGGGCACGCTGTTGCTTGACGCCGAACAAAAGCTGAGAGGAGGGTATCCCCATAGCAACCAATCGCGACAACGTTGTCCGCCTAGGAGACGAGAGAGCGAGCAAGCGACGTGTACAACTGGGACGACGGGTCGCGGTGACGAACGGAATGGGGAGGAAGGAGCCGAAAGATCCGCGGGATTCCCGAGGGCGAAGGAGAACTAATATCCTTTCTCTTGTACCGGCAAGAGGAATTTATGTCCGCGCGAAAACCGGTTTATGGATCGAGTTCTAACCAAATGAAACTTTTTCCGGCGTTAGGGCTGCCATCTGTAAAATTATTAATCTAGGACCTGTCTCTTATACACATCT